TTAGACTATATATATATATATATATATATATATATATATATATATGCTAATTTCTTTCCTGTTCTCGAGTACTAAAAAGTGGTCTCTTCTTGTTCACAGTGCCGATCAGAGGTCTATTTGTGAAGTTGATGATCTCACCCTGCCCGAGTTGTGATGTGGGGGTGCACCATGGCAATACAAGGTTCAATAGTGAGCCTGGCTTTACTGTTCTTTGGGATTCAAGCTGTTCCTAACCCCACCAGCAAACTAGTGAGGACCACAAGGGTGAGGCGACAGGTTCCCGAAGGTGGGGGTCCCTCTAGCAACCAGACCCAGGCCATGATCTTCAATCATGTATACAACATCAATGTACCTCTAGAGTCACTCTGTTCTGTGGACCTTGACACGGTACCAGGGCCAGGGACAAACAAAGGTACATCTGGGAGTGACTAGATGCCGACAGAGTACACAGAAGAGAGAGTGGACTCGGACAGCCAGGTGACCTTCACCCATCGCATCAATATCCCAAAGCAGGCCTGTGCTTGTCCTGCGGCTGCCACCATGGAACAGCTGGCTAGCCGTATAGAGATGCTGGAGAGGGAGGTGTCCTTGCTTCGAGCACAGTGTAGCTCCAGCTGCTGTGGAGAGAGCTCTGTTATTGGTGAGTTTTAGATTCTGAGGTGGATACACATTGCTCGCACATCCTGCAGTATTATAAAAAAGTAATGTTTCTGAGTTCCGACTAGATTTGTTCTTTCAAGCATTCTTACTGTTATGGTATTTTCATTATATAACAGATAATGATCTAAATAAAGATTCAAGTAATCCTTGACTCATTTCAGGTCAAGGATGAGATGAGACAAAATAAGGAATAATTTTATGTACATGCTGTACTAAAGCTAATATAGCCTTACAGTTTTATGCTTTACTAAAAATAATTGAAAATTGACACTGAAGACTGGAGTAATGACTATAGAAAATTCAGCTTTTTCATCACATGAGTAAATTACATTTTCTAATACATTAAAAAAGAAAACGTTTATTTTTCTGTATATTTGATCAAATAAATGCAGCCTTGATGAGCATAGTAGATGTCTTTCGAAAACATTAAAAACTCCACAAATCTTTGAATAGTAGTGTATTTATTTAATTTATCACATGCCTTTGGATTACATATATGTACAAAATAGATAAATGGAGGATATTAATCAGCAATATTGACAAAAAGATAAAATCACATGACGGCTCTTTGCTGGAATAACTTTCCCTTTAATAAAATATCTAAAATATGTTAACTTAAGCTTAAATTTTTTAAATTAAAAACGTGCTTCTCAGTCAGACTCAAATAGCACTGAATTAGTGAAGTATCATCTAAGAATCAGTCATTGGAACTCAGAAACTATTTTTCTATCCCTAATATTTCTTCTTGTACCTATTCATGTTGTCATTAAACAGGCAACTGAACCCAGATGGTACATAATGCAAAGAAGGTTGTATGAAAGAGTTAATATGTTCTGCTGTAGATAAATATTCAAAATCGAATATCATGGATTTACTATACACAGGTTGTGTCTCTGTTTTATAATGGATTAATCAAACTCAAATCTGTTTCAAAGCTTTTGGCTCATTGTACCTGGTGGATGAAACAAAAGTGCGTCCTGGTCCTTCTGTCGGTTATGATGTGACTGCAGTGCTAAGTGAAATAGAGGCTATATTGTACATTGACCCATAAGGACAACAGAACTGTGGAAGTTGGTAGTGTTGTGCTTGTTTAACGTCTCAAAGGGGCACTCAAGTGGATTCACACCTGCAAACCTTGGCTGTGTAGCCCCTCCAGGGCAACTAAAAACAGCTGAAACACTGCAGTAGTAAAGGGAAAGTCATATTAAGCTATACAAATGAGGTTAGATCGTGAACTAGATTAATTACAGCACTGCTGCTGGAAAGGTCTTCCCCTCAAGCCTTTGATAAGTCCTCTGTTTGCTGAATCAAACCAAGCTACATGCACTGGAGCTAAGAAGATTGCAAGATATTGCCTCAGAATTATTTATTTATTTATTTATTTTTCTTAAGTTGAATTTTAGTCCAACCTGATGGAAATTAAAGGAATAGCTCACCCAGTGTAAATTCTGTCATTATTTACTCACCCTCATTTTGCTCCAAACCTGTTTGACTTGGCTTCCTCTGAGGAAAATGCAATAATTTTTAAGAATATGTTTAAAAGAGTGTCCTGGATACCGAAAGTGAGGTGAATGAGGACCAGAATGACAAAAAAAAGCACAAAAAAAAGCACACTGATAAAGTGGTCTGACTTCTTTCAGAACACATAATGATAGCCGTGTGTGAGGAACAGCCTGTAATTTCACTATATATACTTAAAGGGATATTCCACCCAAAAATGAAAATTCTATCATCATTTACTCACCCTCAAGTTGTTCCAAACCTTTATGAATTTTTTTCTTCTGCTGAACACGAAAGAAGATATTTTGAAGAATGTGTGTAATCAAACATTTTCTGGTCCTCATTGACATAGTATTATTACTATATATATATATATATATATATATATAAGTCAATGGGGACCAACAACTGTTTGGTTACATACATTCTTCAAAATGTCTGCTGTTATGTTCAGCAGTAAATAATGACAGAATTGATATTTTTGGGCAAAAAATCCCTTTAAAATTATAGAGTCTGATGAATCAGTTCACTCAGGTCCCAAAACCAGTTTGAATGATTCATTCATGAACCAGACGGGTCCAGTTATTTATTTAAATCACAAATTCACTGATTCAGTCACAGTGTTTAATATTTGTCTTTTTTTTCTTTCTCCATGGCATTAGAGTGAGCAAAAGATGACAGATTTTTAATTTCATATTTGTTCAATCTTAGGTCACTTCGACTTCGTCCCTCAGTGTGGCCATGGCACGTTCAGCATGGAGGTTTGTGGGTGTGTTTGTGAAGAAGGATGGATTGGCAAAAACTGTTCTGAAGCCCGCTGCCCAGATGACTGCTCTGGCCAGGGCATTTGCATCGAAGGCGAGTGTGTATGTGACCGTAACTTTGGCGGTGAGAACTGCTCGGAGCCTCGATGTCCAGGTGATTGCTCAGACAGGGGGTTATGCATTGATGGCGAGTGTGTTTGTGAGGAAGCCTATGCTGGGGAGGACTGCTCGCTGGGCAGATGTCTGAATGACTGTTCAGATCAAGGAACCTGTGTGAACGGAACCTGCCAGTGCCGACCCGGCTTCCTGGGGGAAGACTGCTCTCTCATCTTCTGTGCTAATAACTGCAGCCAGAAAGGGGTGTGTAAGGATGGTTTCTGCGCCTGTCAAGAGGGATATACAGGAGATGACTGTGCTTCAGGTCAGTGTATAGTTGAGTACAATAAAAAAAAAAACACCCTTGTGTTTTCTTATTGCCCTTCTTGTTGCCAGAAAATTTGTAGACACAACTTATGGGTTTCAGATATTTATTTCCTGCATATTTTAGTGTTATTTCTAGGACTGTCAAATGCGCTTAATATTGTTAATCTAATTAATTACATGATGTGCCGATTAATTAATCTAATTAATCACACATTCATTTTGGCTGAGAAGGGGGCATCAAATGTGTTAAATGTGTTGACAATTTTAATATTTTTTCCCAAAATTATTCACACCAAATTAACATGTTAAATTGACAGTTATTTCATTACTTGATATAATTTCAATATATCCAACCTGCCTGAACTACTACTTAAACTTGCTTTGTACTTTTAAATACACTGAAAATAGAACTAAAAAAACAATGCAACATAAAGCCCATACATGTACACAACTGATAAGAAATAAGAAACAATTAATATAAATAAAATATGATCAAATGTAATGTGTGACACATAGACATTTTAAGGCAACTGTTTTTTCCTATGATCCATATGATCCATAACTTTAACCATATGTTTTTCCTGTAAGGAAACAGTACATCTGTTGTCTTGTTAAATATTGAATAGATTTTGAATAGATATCATTTGAATGGTAATTTATACTATAACAATTTGCAGCAAAATGTTGTTCTGTTAAATCTCTCTCTCTCTCTCTCTCTCTCTCTCTATATATATATATATATATATATATATATATATATAGACCACATACACAGTATTTTTAAGGAAGGCTATCTTACAATCTTAGGGTATCATGAAGTAGATATCATAGGCTATATGTCTGATCTAAATGTCAATGTATCTGATATAAATGGTCAGCATATTTTATGTAATATATTTGATTTTTATATTTAGGCGGAAACAAAGCAGATAGGATAACTCTTGAATGGATCAGCCGCTTGAACAAATGACTCAAATGTTCACTCA